GCTTTCAATGACAACTGTGTAAAGTTCATTTCCCAGTATGACAATGAATGTGGCTACAGCAACAGGATGGTTAACCTCATGGTCTCCAAGGAGTGAGAAGCTCTGTGTGGACAGAGGTTTCTGTCCCACCCAGTCCTGCAGCCATTCAGTCCCAAATAAACACACAGAGGCTTATATTAATTATTAACTATTTGGCCAATAGCTCAGGCTTCTTATTGGCTAGCTCTCTCTTAATTATTAACCCATTTCTATTAATCTGTGTATCTCCACGTAGTCTTGGCTTAACAGTGATGACCAGGCCCCTTTCTCGCTCTGCAGTTACATGGCATCTCTTTAGAGACTCACTCTCTGCCTTCCTCTTACAAGTATTCTCCTAGTCTGGTAGCCCTGCCTATATTTCCTGCCTGGTTACATTTGCCGAAACATCTTACTCATCAACCAATAAGAGAAGCATATATTCTCAGCATTCAGATGGACATACCCCATCAGCTCTGGACTGCACACCCCAGCAAGAGCATGAGAGGAAGAGGCCCTCAGATGCTGAGGAGTCCCTGTTCCTATCAGCTCCCAACACTGGGCATATCCCCTCACAATTTCCATCCCAGACCCCCAGAAGAAGGCAAGGAGCTTACAGAGCCCTACTCACTTGAATATCATAAATAAAGTTGCTGCACACCTTCCCCAATTATAAATCAGATGAAGATCTTAAAAGTTTTAAAGGCAGAATTGAAAACCCTCCTGCACATTTCAAATGTCCTCACCACATTCTAGACATAGGTTATGCTTATTCACTACAGCCTATAAGACTGGCGCAGATGAGATCTGAGTGTTGAACTCCTGGCTCAAGCAATGACACTGATTTGGATTGCTATTGTTGATTTTGAGATTATAATTACATTTCTTCCTCTTTTCCTTTCTTCCCTCCAAATCCTTCCATATACTCCTCCTTGCTTTCTTCAAATTCATGTCTTTTTTCAGTTTTATATATATGTATACTTATATATATTATATATATATATATACATACATAAATACACATTATTCCCGAATATAACTTGCTCAGTCTGTATAAGCTTGTTTGTATGTATGTCTTCAGGGCTGACCATATGTTGTCAAATAACCTATGTATGCTCTTCCTTGCTGGTTTGGTTTTTGAAGCAGGTGTCTCTAAGTAGCTCAGGCTTGCTAGAAACTCCCTATGCAGCAGAGACTGGACCTCAAATTTGTGATCTTCCTGACTCAATCTCTGGGTGCTGGGATTACACCCCTGTCCTGATGATACCAAGAAACCTAGTGTCTCATCCCTCTGAGATGGTGAGTTAGCCGCACTGTGCTCTACAATCATCATTTGCCTACTATGGACTCTCAACAGATGAAAACTAAAGCTGCCCTCACACACAAAAAAAGTCCCAAAACTGAAAGTCTTCAGAAACTTTTATAACAATACAATTGTTACAATTGAAGGAATAATTTAACCCATGGGATTGTATTGATACGACTTTTTTCCCCCACTTTATTTCATTTTTGCAAACATACTGGTCTGGGTTGGAATGGAAATTTAAAACAAAAATAATCCTCAGGCAATCAACCTAAAATCCCACTCTGGCCATCTGTATCTACTTCACCCATCAATCAGGGCAGCTGCTGAGTGTAAACTAGGTAAAACAGATTCAGCCTGCTTCCGCAGCATTGTCACTAACCACCAAAGAAAGCTGCTCCTTAGCAACTGAATCTAAAAACACAAGATGCCACACAGGATCTCATTTATGGAAGTCTAGTTTTTCACTTCCCCATACGCTGAAAAATTAGCATCTTCATTACCACATTATATAAATTATATAATTATATAAATTATATAATTAACAATTAAAATTTTTTTGTTTCATAAACCAAAAATTCATGAAGGGACAGTTTCCAGGCCTAAGGGCAAAGAAAGCCACACAAATGTGGAGAAAGGTGGTTTGCAAATGAGAAAATGAGGGGAAATCAATGTCATACACTTTTTAATGGTCAGCTGTAACACGTGGACTCCGCCACAGTAATTTCAGACCACTCATTTCTAACATTAATGCTGTAAGAATTAATAGGCCCACCAGACATCTGACTTTATTTCTGTATTGAGAAATTCTTCAGATAGGCATGGAGGTGCATATTTTTAATTCCAGCTTTAAGGGAGGGAGAGATAGGTATATCCTTATGAATTTGAGGCCAGTTTGGTCTACAGAGTGAGTTTCAGGGCAGCCAGGGCTACACAGAGAAACCCTGCCTCAGAAAACAGACAGCTGGGCAGTGGTGATGCGCACCACACTGGAGCAGAGGCAGATAGAGGCAGGCAGACCCTGAGCCAGCCTGGCCTACAAAGTGAGTTCCAGGACAGACAGGGCTGCTACACAGAGACGCCCTGTCTGAAAAAACAAACAAACCAAAATTTCAAAAACCAAGTTTGAAAAAAGAAAATTTGCCAGGCGTGGTGTTGCATGCCTTTAACCCCAAAACTGGGAGGCAGAGACAGGTGGATCTCTGAGTTCAAGGCCAGTCTGGTCTCCAGAGAGAGTTCCAAGCTACACAGAGAAACAACAACAACAAAACAAAAAAGAAACAAACAAAGGAAAACAACAGAAAGAAAGCCAAAAACCAATTTATGAATTGCTTACTTCAATTAAGCCAGGCCTAGTGGTGTATACCTTTAGACCTTGAGAGGAGGAGGCAGGCAGATAGATCTCTGTGAGTTTGAGGCCAGCCAGGTCTACAGAGAGTCTCAGGCCAGCCATGGCTATACAGTGAGACCTTGTCACAGAACAACAAAAGCCTAAGTAAATTTTACCTCAGTTAAAATATTTAAATATACAAATCAATCCAAACCTCACAAATGTCACCATAATAATAGCAATCCAATTCTAACACAATGGTAAGAAAATTGGGGCTGGAGAGATGATAGTGGTTAAGAGAACTGCTGCTCTTCTAGTAGATCTGAGTTCGATTCCCAGAACCCACATGGTGGACCACAATCATCTGTTACACTAGTTCTAAGAGAACTGATGCTCTCTTCTGGCCTCCAAGAGCACCAGGTACACACATGGTACACAGATATCCAGGTACACAAAACACCCATGCACATAAAATAAGTATTTTAAAAGAAAGAAAGAAAGAAAATATGATAGAGGGAAAGGTCAGAAAGCCTAGGCAGGAAGGTAACCCAAAAGAGAGGCTTCATTGGTCAAGGAGAACTGTGTGTGTGACACATCACCTGCTGTCTAGCTCTATCCAACTGCTACCTTGACCAAAGAGGGAAAACCAGCAATCTTGCTAATCTAACAGAGCAAGTCTGTGGGTTGGATCGTCTATGAGCTATAGTGCATGTACTATGAACCCTTGCCACGATGGACAGTGGCTGACAACGGCTCTGAGTCAGAGCAGCTCATTCTCATTCCAAGATACTTGAACTCTTTCAAATTACACAGCCTGTTTCCTTGATTGTAGCGCAGTGAGTCTGCTGTTGTGGGTTTTGTCTGTGTTGGTGCTATATACCAAACCTAGGCCTTGCAATTCTAGGCAAACCTTACTATCTGGCTATATCCCAGTCCTTTCAGTGAGTCAAGTTAGGATAGATAGATAGATATCTTTTTTCTTTAAGTGTTATTGTTAGAAGTTAGAGAGATGGCTGAACAGTTAAAAGCACTGCCTACTCTTCCAGAGGACCCAGGTTCAATTCCCAGCACCCACATAGTGGCTCATAACCCTTTGCAACTTCAGTTTCAGGGGACCCCAGGACTTCTTCTGGCCTCCAACGAAGCCAGGCATGCATGTAGTACACAGACATAAATGCAGGCAAACTATCCATACACATATACAAAATAAAACTAAATAACTCAGTGTTCTCATTACATCCCAAAGGGCACAGGAGAAAAGGGCAATGGAAACGGGAGAGACAAGTCAAGTAAAGCATCCTTCTCCCTGGCCGAAGGCTCTGCTTTCCCCGCTGCCTTTCCGTTGGTTTGTTTGTTTCCATCAAAGCCTTCTCTTCCAACTCTCTTCAAGGTCTACCTCATGCCTCATCTTCCTTTGAGGGAAGCACACCTTTCAGGAACAGAACTTCGGCAAGGGCTGATTTTAGGGCCGATGTTGAAAACAAAGCATGAAATTCTCTTGACTGGAGTAGTTTTTCTCCCTAAACCATTGAGCACTGTGTACCTAGGGAACTCTTTTAAGACAATCTAAAGTGTGTATCTTTTCTCCTCCCCAGCTAACCTCTGTTTAAGGGAAGACAACCTAACAAATGAACCAAAGCGTCCAAACATTAACAATAAAGTTTATTTCTAAGCAAACAGATATGAAAATAATCTCAGAATATCCATTCCAGTCCTTGGTTTCCTTGAAAGGAAATGATAATAACAAACCACTTTAGTTTAGTTTTGGTTTTTTTCTCACACTGATTGCAGTGCTGGCCACCTAAACTTTCCTCAAAAAACATTCATAATTTCTCAAAAAACTGCTATACTGATTTTGACTCACATGGAAAAAGTCATAGTCTCCATTTGTTTTTATATGGTACTTTGATTCATTGAAACCCCTGGGAACCATCAGAATGTAACTATAGTGCAAATGCACAGGGCCCCAAACATTTTTGTATAAATTTCAGAGAACTCTGAATGCTCCAGGTTCTTTAGCGGATTACCCACCACTCTCGGTTAAGATTTATAGAGCAGAGCCAAGCGGTGGTGGCATTCCCTTTTAATCCAGCATTTGGGAGGCAGAGGCATGTGGGTCTCTGGGTTCGAGGCCAGCCTAGTCTACAGAGTTCCACGACAGAGAAACCCTGTCTCGAAAAACAAAACAAAGATTTATAGAGCTGAACTATGAACTCGGTTTCTACTGTGAACTGTTACCTATCTTTTCCTTAATGAGAACTTAGAGCTGGGAAACAGCTTCTCTTTGCAAACATCACTATGTCCAGCACCACCCCAACCCTTGGAGGGGGGGGGGGGTCACGGAGGACTTACCTCTGAGAAATTCACAGCCAAAGGAATGATTCCAGCCACGTAGCATCCCACCAACATTGCCAAAGACAGCAGACTAATGGAGAGAAAATCATCCATTCTGCCCTCCTGCAGTCACCCTCTACCACCAGGCTTCAGAATTCCAGCGGTTTGAAAACGCGCTTAGGCTCTTTAAACGTGCGGCTTTCCAAGAGATCAAGGAAGTTTCCCACTGCTTCCAACCTTGTCACCAGCCGGCGTGTTCACGAAGCACGTTGCTCCCTTTCGTACTGAGGCAAGTTCCTTTCTGCTGATGCTAGCACCAGAGAAAACTTTGTGCAATCTTAGGTGCTTTGCTGGCAGTCACTGCGATTCCGGCAGGTAACAGACGGTGGAACTGTGCGAAAGAGATCTCTTCAATCTTCGGAATGAGGGTGGCACAATGACCCACTCCCCTAGACGTGCGTCTGGTACCAGCAAGAGAAAGGTAAACCCAAGTGTTCTCTCCTCGGCGGCACCTGGTTCTCTGGGGTGGCCCCGCAGGTGATCCGCCCCCAGGGAAGGGACCAGCCCACCAGTCCCAGCAAACTCCCTTCAAGTCTAGAGTCGGGCAAGCTGTCCCGCAAGTCTCTCACAGTGAGCCCCGAGGATTCAACAGCAAAGTCGATATAATGCTGTCTCTGCCCTACACCGGGTGCTGCCCATGGTACTTCCCTCAGCCAGGCCCTGACCCTGAGTCGCCAGTACTACAGCTGCCATGGCCGCCAAGTGGCACCTCTTCATTACTCCCACTTCCGGATTGTCTCACCGCCCCCTCTGTAGCAGGGCACTTCCGGGTTACAACTGACCTATAAACCGCGGAACTTATATTGCCGCCATTTTTTAGAAAGTCTAAAAAACACAAATACTGGTGTCACTGTTGTGTTCTCCACCACTCTATCTACCTGTCTGCTAACTGAAGTGCAGAAGGCAGCGTCCCGAAACAAACTATTGTTTCTAAAGCTGCAAAACGTTCTCGTACACATCTCCGCGCCCTTACCCAAGATGGCTGAAACGGAGTCAACATCCGCTCTAGGGACCGGAAGTATGTGAATCTCTACGGTCCAAAAGGCTCTTTCGCGTCGCGCTTCCGGCGATTTCCGGCGACTGCTCTCGCGGGATTGGCTGTTGGCGGCGTTGCGGCTGAGCTCGTGTGCGGCGGCAGCGGCGGCGGTGGCGGTGTTAGCGGCGGCTGCAGCAAAGCGTTTGGCGCGATGGTGAGGCCCTCAGCGGTTCCCGGGGTCCCCGGCTTCGAGGGCCACCCCTGCTCCGTACATCTTCCCGTCCCTCCTGTTCCCGCCCATCCGGCGCGAGCGGGCTGCTCCCCGCCCCCCAAGCTCGCGGGGCGACCCTTCCCCTTCCCGGCGCTGAGACGCGGGGCCTGGCTTTAGGCCCCGGACCTGGTCCGCCCTGCGGCTGCGCGCCCTCCTGCTGGCGGGGGCGAGGTGTGCGGGGGGCAGAGGGTGCCCTGTTTGCGTCTCGCTGCCTGGGAGAGGGAGGCGTGGGGGGCCCGTCCTTCCTCTTCAGATGCACTAGCGGACTGTGGGAACAATGGCGGGGAGCGTGTGTCAGACCTTTCCCTGAAACCGACTCACTCGTCACCCTACTGTTCGCCGCATGTGGGCCTGGGTGGTCGGATTCGCTTTGCAGTGTGCCTCCTCAGCCGTCCCCGCAGTGTCCCCCCCCCTTGCCAAAAAAAAAAAAAGTGTTTTCCCTTTTCCAGTAGCCTCAGTTGCCTGTGTTGGGCAGTTCCATCAACCTTCGGTCTTAGGTTTATTTGAGAGGAGCCTGAAAAGACTCCAGCGTCCGGGCCCTAGAATCCGACAGGGGTGGTACTAAAGTATGATCTTTAACGTCTGTAAAGGTTTTTTGTTCTATTTGTTAATGTCCGTTTGTGCATGTGAGTCCAGGTGCCCGCAGAGGCCAGAAGAGGGTGTGAGATCCCCAGGATCTGCTGGTGGATGTGGGTGCTGGGAACCAAACTCAGGTCCTCTGTGAGAGTAGCACGTGCTCTTAACTACTGAGCTGTCTCTTCATTCCTCCCGTTATTGTTTTGCTTTTGGTGGGTTTTAAAAGATTTTTTTTCAGTGTGTGTTCTGCCTGCGTGTCTGTGGCAGACAGAAGAGGGTGTCCAATCCCCTGGAATTGGAATTACAGATGTGAGCAACCCTATGGGTGCAGGGAATTAAAACCGGTCCCTTGGAAAAGCAGCTTGTGCTCTTAACCTCTGAGCCATCTCGAGTACCCCAGCCCTCCTGTTCTTAAGCAAACAAAAGGGAGAAGTTCACGGGATTTACTTAAGCAGAAATGTGTGTATGTGTACTTTTGGAATGTTATTCAGATTATTCTTTAATTTGCCTTCAAATTTAAAAACTGGCAAAGAATGAATAGCTTGTCTAAGATAAGCCATTACAAGAGTACAGATGTAGTTCTCCTAAGACTATTTTCTTCTCAACAGGTGACATAACGAAAGTGCTCTGAGTAGTTGGCCTTTATGAACCCCTATAAGGCAAATCTAATTCCATGCTTTCTCTGGCTGTTGATCACTAACAAAACACAGTTGCTACTAGGTCGAATAGTTCAGTGGATTTTTTTAGGATATATTACTAATTTATCTTATACCGTAAGAGTAGCTCCTGAATAAAGATGTGGCACTGTTATGCTCTTTTTGGAAAAAGACCTTAGGTAATCAGTGGTTATAGTATTCCCCTTTCCCTCTCCCTTTATCACCACATGTCTTAGTTTTTATTGAGAGTTAGTAGAGCTAGAGACCAGTGGAGACAGAAGAGTGTGAAGTAGCTTTTGTGAGTACTTGCTAGAAGGTATATTTGGAGTTGGAGAAATGGCCCAGAGTAAGGGGCTGATTTAGGGGAGTTGTGAATCCAGCACTGAAAACATATATGGACAGAGGCATCTGCATTGTGGATGTGTTGTGTTTTAATAACTGAGATTTGTTTCATATACGCGGGCCTTATGTTGTGATGTGAATTTCTCAAATGCATATTAGGATATACATTGAAACTGTTTTTCCCTTCAGTCTCACACCATTTTGCTGGTACAGCCTACCAAGAGGCCAGAAGGCAGGACTTACGCTGACTATGAGTCTGTGAATGAATGCATGGAAGGTGAGTGGTCACTTTCGAGAGGTAAACTGATCAAGGGTGAAATCTTGAAGTCCTTCAAATACACACAACATACTCTTGTGAGATACATACCATTTGAGAACTGGAATTGTTTTTCCCCCTAGATCTCTTGAATTACTATTTGAAGCAGGGAAAAGTCTGTTTTTGGCATGGACTGTTAAAATATTTTGTTGACATGGGTATTTTACATGTGACTGACTCTGAATGCCTTCTAAAACCTCATAATCTGACTATTAAATTGATAAATGTTAAAAGCTGGCTAGGCGTAGTGACACACCCCTTTAATCCCAACACTCAGGATGCAGAGGCAGGTGGATCTTTGAGGCTTCAAGATCAGCCTGGTCTACAGAGAGAGTTCCAAGACAGCTAGGGCTGTTATACAGAGAAACCCTGTCTTGTAAAACCAAAAAAAAAAAAAAAAAAAAAAAAAAAGCTTGAATGTTAGAAATGTTAGTAAGCTCAGAAAAAGCCAAGGTTCACAAAAGCAGATCAGTATGATCCATTATGCATTTGCTAAACTTCCACTCCCACCCAAGGAACAAATTAGCTCATAATGTTTCTTCACTGGGTAAACCATTAGAACACAGACTGGTTTACTGTTCTCTGCATAGTGGATTTGCTTTTACGCTGCCCTGCATTGTTTCTAGGAAGGTGTTTGTTCTTTGCCTCTTTCTACCAAAGGGTTATATAGTTGATTTAGTTTGGCTACTGTACAGGTCCCTAAAACTGTTGATTATTCAAAACTAACTGTGTTAGGCTCCAAATCTAACAGTGATTAATAATGCCTATAAAAACAAAAACTGCTTATAATCAAAGGTGGCTTCAAGGTAGCTAGTACAATAATACCCTTGGCACTGCCATCAGATTCTACTCTTAAGTGTTTTTCAAGGCAGGGTTTCTCTGTAGCTTTGGAGCCTCCTGAGTGCCGGGATTAAAGGTGTGTGCCACCACCGCCTGGCTTATGACAGTTTTGATACCTAACCAAGCTAACCTAGAATGCAAGCATCTTCTACCTTGGCCTCTTGAGTACTGGGATTATAGATATGTATCACTGTGTCTGCCTCTGTTTTGTTTTTTAATTAATGAACCTTGATGTGTGGGTTTAGGTTTGTAGAAAAATTGAACAGAATATAAAGTTAGTCATGTGTGTATATAGCAGCACCCACCCCCTCCACTGACACCTCTGTCCATTAACATCTTACCTTGATGTGTATAGTGGTTCGTTATGTGTTGTGCAATTCTGTAGACTGTTACAAATTCATTGGATGATGGACTTGTCAAAATATAGTTATAAAGAAAAGCTTCATTCCCCTCCTATACCTGTCCCACCCTCCAGACCAGTGACAACTACCAGTCTTTAAGCCTGTAATACTTAATACAGTGTAACTATTATGTAAATAACTATTACATTTTTTTTTGTTGGGAAAGTAAGAAAACGTCTATAAATGTTCAGAAACTGTGAAATAGTTTTTCAAACATTTTTTTGATTAGCATTGTAGTTTTGGGGCTTGGAATGTAGCTCATTTTATAGAGTGACTTGTCTAGCATGTTCAGAGTGTGAATTTGTTCCTTGGCACCACATAAACAGGTGTAGGTATGAGCATTTAATCCAGCACTTGGGAAGAGAAGGCGGGAAGATGGGAAGTTCAAGTTTATCCTCAGCTGTAGTGAGTTCGAAGCTAGCCTAGGCTACATGTGACACTGTTGAAAAGAGAAATGGTGGTTTGGTTCCCATTTTAAAAAGTGAAAAGATAATGCTGGTTATTACCATCATCATGTAATCCTAGCACTTAGGCTGAGGCAGGAGGAGCCCAAGTTTGAAGCCAGCTACTGGCTTGCTTTCTGATAAAACCCAGGTTGGGAGGGGTGTGGGAGAGATAACTGAGAGACTGGGGTGTAACTCAGTGGTAGAGCATTTGCTTAGCATGCTTGAAGCCCTAGTTTCAAGCCTACCACTGCTAGTAGCAAACATTTTGTCCTCCTTGAACAACTACTTGTATGTCCCTCTCCCTCCCTCTCCACAAGTCGCTTCAGTTAAATTTATTGGTAAGAGCTGTATTTTATTATGTCATACTTGGAGTTAAAGTTGTTTGAGTGTCTCTTTGTGGGGGGGTTGTATAGAAATACAGCTGATTTTCATATATTGGTTGTGTGTGTTATACAGCCTTGGTACCTCATATATTAGTTCTGATGGTGATTGTTAACTTGTTGCTGTGGCTACAGCCTATAGTGGAGTACTGCTGAGTAAATGTTCTTCCTGGTGGTAGCAGATAAGCATAGTCTAACTTAAACATGACACTAAACCATTAAAGATGACAGTAGGGACAGGTCAGTGAATTTACCTTTCTGGGCTTCGCTTCCTTTTAATTTTATCAGTTATATGATTTCAGTATAGTATGCTAGTAGCAGTTAAAAGGGGGACATGGGGGGAATAGCTAAGTCAGTAAAGGAATATTTACCAGTGAGTGTGAGAGCCCCACACCAGTATAAACTAGCCAAACCTGATGCTGGGGTATAGAAACAAGTGAATCCTAGGGACTGGCCAGCCTAGCCTGAGTGAGGTGCAGGCTCAGAGATAAGAAAGATGACATTTCACCTCCTCGTGTGCAGACACATACAAAAACATGTAAAATGGTTAACTTGATACTGAATGTAGCCTTCCTCCAGAAATTTTAAGAAATTATTTTAGAGATGCCTTAAGGGTTTGTGTATTACAATATATGGTATATTGCCCACAGGTAATTGATATCACTTGTCCTTTGAGTGGTTGATATTAGCAATGGACTTAAAAGGTATATTCCCCCATTCATAGAATGCTTCATTGTCTGAAAATTAACCAGTAATATGCTCTGTTGATAATTGTTAATGTACTATGATTATTGATTAGGGGTTTTGTTTCTGTTTTTTGGAGACAGTCTCATGTATCATAAGCTGGCCTCAAATTCACTATGTAGCTGAGGGTGAGTTTGAACTTCTGATCCTCCTGCCTTAGCCTCCCAAGTGCAGGGATTACAGGCATGCCCACCACACCTGGTTTTATTATCTCCTTATATTAGAGTATTTACAAGCTTTGCTTTGTGCTGATGCTTCATGGTCATTATTTCAGATAATATGTAGAATCCTATGGAAATGTACTTACTGTTTGTCGGTAAGGTTTGCTGGGTAGAGTCATTTTTATGATAAATGAGCTGGCTTTCTGGATTCCTAATGTATCCAGAGTCTAGAATCTTCAGTACCATATCAGGATAAGCTCCAATTTTTTTTGCCAGTTATTGTGACTTTTTCCATTGCATTAAATTTTGAAGGTAAAATGGGAAATTGTGTTTTTCTGCTCTTCAGCCTTAATATGATTAGAAACCCAAAAATAAGTACAATCCGGGTGAGGTGGCACAAGCCTTTAATACCAGCAATTGGGAGACAGACAGGAGGATCTCTGTGAGCTCCAGAACAGCCAGATTGCTGTGTATAATATGTAGAAGGGGAGGACTAACTGACTCTATCTGGAAAGGGTCATTGCTAAGGGCCAAACACAGACTACCCAGATGCCTAGCCCAAACCTTTAATGTTCTTTCTCTCCAATGGTTTGAAGAACTCATCTAATTATAAAACACAAAATAGTTAGTCACAAAAATGAAAACAAAAGTTATCAACCTGCAATCCTTTCATTACTTATATGTAGGAGTTTACAGTCATAAGTTTTTGTTCTCTCTCCCTTAGGTGTTTGTAAAATGTATGAAGAACACCTGAAGAGAATGAATCCCAACAGCCCCTCTATCACATATGATATCAGTCAATTGTTTGACTTTATTGACGATCTGGCAGATCTCAGCTGTCTTGTGTAAGTATTAACCACCATATCGTTTAATTTATATTTTTCTTCCTTCTATCTTTGTCTATTTATATAGTTACTAGTGTTACATAGAAATCAAAAATTAAATTGGCAATATAAAGCGGAAGGCATAGGAAACTGCCAGTTTACTTCATATTGTAGGGTGAATAGCTTATTTGAAAAGCTCCATGTTGTTTGTACCCTAAACCTAATAGTGTTTTTCCTGTGTTTCTTATCCTTGGTCTTTTTCCTAATGTAATTGGTTTCATATTTAAACTGAAGTTTTTTTTCCTGAAATTTAGTTTTCAAGAAACTAAATTTAGTTTAGCCTGTGTATGCTTGTTTTTGTTAGCCGGGCAGCCGGGCGTTGGTGGCACACACCTTTAATCCCAGCACTCGGGAGGCAGAGGCAGGCGGATCTCTGTGAGTTCAAGACCAGCCTGGTCTACAAGAGCTAGTTCCAGGACAACCTCCAACATCTCAGAGAAACCCTGTCTCAAAAAACCAAAAACAAAACAAACTTGTTTTTGTTGTTTTGTTTCATTGGTGTGAGGTTTTAGATTTTAATATGCTTATTATAGTTATATTTAATTTTTATTGAATGGTACTAATGTAAGTATTGTGTTGTAGTCTACACCTTGAAGTAGACTAGATTGGCACTTAATTAGGATATACGAACACAGAACAATCCTAGAAAATGATTGACTTTTTAGACTATTTCTCATAAAGCAGCATTGATAAAGAACTGTCTCTTTGTATTTGGTTAGGTGTGTTAGGCAGTGGCCTGTGTGCTTGAAATAGACCTGGCCTTGTCACTCAGGAAAAAATCGGTGTTGCTTATATAAAGCATCCCTTCTTTGGAGTGTATTTCCCTTAATGGAAACTGGCCCAACCTGTGGGGGAGGGGGGGTGCAGGGTTGTAATCCTAGCTAATCTGGAGGATGAGGCAGGGGGATACAAAGTTTAAGGCTAGACAACTTAGTTAGATCCTTTCTCAAAATAAAAGGTAGGTGCAACTGGGGTTTATGTTGCTCATTGTAGATTGGTTGCTTACTAGGCACAAGCCCCATGGTCAATCTTTAGTACCATGGGAAAAAAAACAGTGTGTAGATTTTTAGCTTACTGGTTAATAGTGGAGGTTCTAATGCCAGGAATGTTTAGTTGTACTGTGTAAAATGGACGACAAGATTTATGATCTAAAGAAAAAGAGGAGCCAGGTAGTGGTGGCGCACGCCTTTAATCCCAGCACTCGGGAAGCAGAGGCAGGCGGATCTCCGTGAGTTCGAGGCCAGGCTGGACCGACAGCCTCCAAAACAATACAGAGAAACCCTGTCCCCGAAAAACCAAAAGAAAAAAGAAAAAGAGGGACTGTTGCTTGATATCACTTAACAATATTAAGTTTGTTCACTTTAAGTCTTGATTTCCTCACTTTTTTAATTTTTAAAGGTGTGGCTACTTACAGGGTTATTTAAAAAAGATTAAGCTAGCTGGGCGGTGGTAGTGCACGCCTTTAATCCCAGCACTCAGGAGGTAGAGGCAGGGGATCTCTGTGAGTTCGAGACCAAGCCTGGTCTACTGAGCGAGTTCCAGGACAAGCTCCAAACAATACAGAGAACCCCTGTCTCGGAAAAAAAAAAAAAAAAAGATTAAGCTAATTCAGACGCTTAAAATAATACCCTATATTATGTGTATGAGTGTCTTGTCTGCATGTATGTCTGTTTATTACATGCATTTCTGGTGCCCTCAGGACAAAAGAGGGTGTTAAATGCAGTTAAAGATGGATATGAGCAACTGGGTGTTGGTGGCGCATGCCTTTTATCCAAGCACTCTGTGAGTTCGAAGCCAGCCTGGTCTACAGAACGAGTTACAGGACAGCCTCCAATATAATACAAAGAAACGCTGTCTCGAAAGAAAGAAAGAAAGAAAGAAAGAAAGAAAGAAAGAAAGAAAGAAAGAAAGAAAGAAAGAAAGATAGATAGATAGATAGATAGATATGAGCCATCATGTGGATGTTGGAAATTGAACCCAAGTCCCCTGGAGACCAGAAAGTGCTCTTAGCCACAGAGCCATCTTGACAACCCCACTTCCATTTGTCTTTTTTGTTGTTTTGTTTAATGAGACAGGGTTTCCCTGTGTCGTCTTGACTGTCCTGGAACTTTCCTCTGTGGACCAGGTTGGCCTTGAACTTAACTGAGATCTGCCTGTCTGCTTACAAGTGCTGGGATTCTGTATCACCACACCTGGTGCTTGTCTGCCTTTTTACAGTACAGTGTTTTGCTTTTGTTTTTATTATTTTCTGTGTATAGTGTTTTGCCTGTATGTATGATTGTATACCTTATGCATACAATACCTTTGGAACTCAGAAGACAATATTGAGTCCTCTGGTACTGGAGTAACAGGCCCTTGTGAGCTGCCATGTGAGTGCTGGGAATCAAACCCAGGTCCTGGAAGAGCAGCCAGTGCTTTTAACTGCTTACTAAGCTGTCTCTCCAGCCCTGTACTAGAGTTTTAGTATGCATTCCTCACCAGATAGAGTTCAGTTTTAGGTCAGCTGAAAAACTACTCTATTCAAGATACCGTGACTGACTGGATAGATGCTCAGTATACTGTAGATTCTGAAAACCTTCATTATCAATAGGGTGCTGGTGGTAGTGGTAGTTTTCCTGCCTTACCCTTCTCTTTTGACAGATGTCCTTCTGAATTTTTCCTCTATAGGCCTTTGGTTTTTATTTTAAAAGGCAAGTCTTAAACTATGAGTTCCTTAAACATTAGCAGGAAATCATTGTTGAAATAATACTCTTTTGGAGATTTCTTAGTTGATTCAAAACAAATCTAGCAGATTTAAAGCTTGACCTAGTGTTTAGCTTTTGTTTTTAATAACTAAAGGAACTATAAGAGTGGAAGCTTTGGTGGGGGAGAGAGAACGCATGGTTTTTTTGGTCAGTAGGTGTGTGACTGAGTGCTTAAGAGCCCTGCAGCTTGACTGCTTTTACATCGTAAAATTATACTAGGTGATGCAGATCTGTGCATTAAAGCAGCAGCATTGTCCACTTTTGGTGCACTTCATGTGTGAAAATATGCATGCTGAAGCTCTTGAGGGCAGTTATAATATGGGCTTTAACTGACCACTGTAACTGCACATTTCTTTTTGTTCTCAGGTACCGAGCTGATACACAGACGTACCAGCCTTATAACAAAGACTGGATCAAAGAGAAGATCTACGTGCTCCTTCGTCGACAGGCCCAACAGGCTGGGAAGTAACCAAGTTGGAAGCATCAGGGGCTGGGGGTGGGCTTGAAACAGGTGCATACAGTGTGCTGTAGTGAACATTTTGTATGATAGTAATCCTGTTTCCATTTTGTTACTAGAGCCAAGATTGAATGTATGACATGAAACATGAATGATCTTTTCATTCAGAAACCACCATTTGCTCCCCCTTTGCTCCTTTTCTTTCTTTTTTTACTTAAACATTTTTATGATAACTCAGAGAGAAAGTGTTTTTTTGCCACTTAAGGTTGGTTCCAGTCCTTGAAACTGTTCGTATCTGCTCTATAGCAGTGAGTGCACTAACCCTTTATGGGGGTGGGGGTGGTGACAAGGTTAGTTATGTCCTCTGGGAAAGTCTTAGTGAAAAATAAAGAAATGTTCTGTAGTTGTATTCTCTCATGGAGTGGTTTTGGTTTGGGTTTTTTTGTTGTTTTTGTTGTTATTTCCCTAAACATTGAATTATCTGGCAAAGCCTTATCAGTTTTAAAATCCGTAGACTGCTACACAAAGAACCTGAAAGTTTATCATTTATTTGTGAAACCAATAAGCTTTTACCTCATTTCTCTAGCAATCAGTAAATCTCAGTAGTAGAGGCAATATCTGTATCTACTGTGGATGCAAACATAAGATGCTTCTAGACAACAATAGGAATACATCCCATGACAATGGAAATAGCTCAAATGCATTTAGTATCCCAGTCCTGTGGAGCATCATAACTACAAACAGTAGTGCACTGGCTGAGTGCCTTCTTCTCCTAGCTGCTGGTGGCTGTGGTTCACTGCAGCTTCCAGCATTGCTGTGGAGCATTGGACCTGATATCACTAGCTTGGGGAAAGAGGATTCAGAGCACAAAATTTTCCTCTTTGACAGCATCCTAAATTGGGGACCCTCTGTAACAGTCTATGGGAGGTATTTGTGCCTTTCTCAGAGTCTACAACAGTGAGTGCTACTGCCACTCTTCTGTGGAAGCTGTTAGGGTGTGGGGAGGACCACAGGAAGTAAAGCCATCTTGCTTAGAGTATGGTAGTTTTATGACTTGAACATACCACATTGTCCTCCAGGCAGAGTACATGGACAGTCTCAATTCATTTCCCAGTAGTGAGCATCTTCACACACCATGTGGTTGACAGGTGTTGGAGAGGCTTGTAGCTGGCCTAATGTTCGCCTTTCCCTGTTCCTGTCTCCTATATTAGACCCATAACTCATTTTTATGCAAAATCAAATTCAGAAATTAATGGTTACCTATTGCAGTACTGGGGATGAACTTGAAGTCTTCCACATTGAAATTATGCTCTCTTACCACTGCTTAATCTTAATGGAAATATCACTCTACCACAGAATTGACTAGGGTAGCCTGACAGAATTCTAGCAGTGATGTTCACTAGGAATTAGCCTGACTTTTAAATCTCAAGAGAAATAGCTTCAGAGGTAAGTTGGGTGACTTTTTTGACAGCATCTGTCCTACTGACAGTTGTATTTCTCTGTCATGGTCTTTTGTTTAAGTTACAATAGCAGATAATGAAGGGAGCGAGACACTTCATTCTCCAGTGCTGTGTAGTGTATGATGTTGGAAATGTCTCAACCATGTCCAATGTCACACAGGAGAGGGTCAAAGTGGCCTCTCGGGATGCTGGTAAGATGGCTCAGCAGGTAAAGGTGTTTGCCATGCAAACCTAGTGACCTGAGTTTGATCTCAGTAACCCAAATAAAGGTGGAAGAGGAAACTGATTCCATACAGCTAATCCTCAGACCTTCCCATTGATAGTAACACTTTTTAAATTTAAAATATAATTTTTTAAAACTTAGCCTTTTAAGCCGGGCGCATGCCTTTAATCCCAGCACTCGGGAGGCAGAGGCAGAGGCAGGCGGATCTCTGTGAGTTCGAGGCCAGACTGGACCGACAGCTTCCAAAACAATACAGAGAAACCCTGTCTCAAAAAAACAAAAAAAACTTAGCCTTTTAAAGTGAGATCTATAATAAAATATAATGGCTGTCTCTGTTTTCTGATACCCGATTAGGGAGCCCAGGAGTATTAAAGGGAGATTTCAACTATCTTTTTACTTCCAATTCTCTGGCTTAAAATACTTCTGGCATGGGCTAGTGAAGTGACTTAGCAGCTGGTAAACATTGCTAAACCTGACAACCTGAGTTCATCCTCCAAAACCTACATGGTGGAGGCAGAAAAGCAACTCCCAAAAGTTATGCCCTGATCTCTGTATGCACACTTGTACACTCACACAGATGATTATAACAAAGAATTGGGGTGGGGGCAGCTTCGAGCAAATCGGTACCTAATTAAGCTGTCTGAGTTGCAGTGTTGGGTAGGAGTGGTGTGATGTGGGATGTCCTGTATGCTGCAAATATGTGTTGCCCTTACTGGTTGGACAGGTAGAATTTAGCCAGGTGGGAAATCCGAACAAGGGTAGAGAGAAGTAATAGACCATGTAACCACCAGGAAAGATAGGACACCTAGGCATTCTCCAATAAGGTAAGACCACTTGGAGACACACAGATTAATAGCTATGGGTTAATAATTAAGAGGGGGCTAGCCATTAAGAAGTCTCGGTGGTTATTTTTTAAGTGGCTGTGGGGTCCAGTGTGACCCCAGATTAGACTGGAAAATCATTTACAGTGGTGAGCCATTTTATGTGCAGTGAGGGATGAGCAGTTTTACACTTGTTACAGAACAAGCTAGACAGAGTTGGGAGGTAGGACAAGACAGTTCTTCTTTACGCTGGCTTACTTGAAGGTAAGCTTTATTATTTGTAACTTGTCATGTTTGGCAGTTGGATTGAGTAGGACTGTTACTGGTGCTGTCTAAGGAACACTGCTCTGTAGGAAGGCCCTGAGGGCTGGGCGTTTTTATGAGCTGGATGAGACATTAGCATTTAGGCCAACGTTCTGCTGCATGGGAAACGGTTAGTCTCATCATCCCAGTAACATAAGTAGGAAATTATCAATTATTTTATGTGCGTTTTAAATGTTTTGTTAATTTGGCTTTTTCTTTTTCCTGACTCAGGGTCTCCCTATACAGTCTATCTGATATGGCACTTGATACGCAGCCTATACTGCACAAACCTGCTCCAGCCACCCAAGTGCTAGGATTACAGGCATATGGAGCATGTTTGCATTTATTTTTTAGGATTTACTTATTATGTATAGTGTTCTGCCAGCATGTATGCGTGCATGCCAGAAGAGTGCACCAGATCTCATTTAGATGGTTGTGAGCCACCCTGTGTTACTGGGAATTGAACTTAGGACCTCTGTAAGAGCAGCCAATGCTCTTCACCTCTGAGCCATCTCTCCAGCCTGCTTGCACTTATTTCTATAAAGGATGAAAAGATAGGAAGGACCAGGCTGTTTGAGTGATTCACTCAGATTGCATAGCAGTATACTTTGCTAGACAGAATAGCCAAAGATCTGCAGGAGTTGGAGACTCCACAAAATGAATAGCTGTGAGCTACACGGTGCATCTGATGGCTGTCAAGGGACCTGATCAGATTGGAGCCCTTTGATTCACAAGCCTGACAAGTCATACTTAGCACAAGCGCACTGCATTCTGACTGAGTTGTCTTAAGATTAATTGCTATTGCTGTAATAAGACATCATGACCAAAAGTAACTTGGGGAGGAAAGGGTTCACTTGGTTTGAATATCCTGAGTCACAGTCCTGTAAGGGAAGCTAAGGCAGGAACTCAAACCAGGCAGGAACTGATCCAGAGGCCAAGGAGAGTGATAGGTACTGGCTATAGGAAACTTGCCCAGCCTGCTTTCTTAAAGCACCCAGGACCACCTGTTCAGGGGTGGTGTCACCCAAAATGGGCAAGGTGCTCCCACATCAATAACCAAGAAAATGCCCTACAGGCTTGCCTACAGCCAGATCTTATGAAAGCATTTTCTCAACTAAGATTTCCTCCTCTCGGTTTACAAGGCTAGGCAGCAAATCAGCCTGGCAAGTGTTTCTCTTCCATGTGGTGGTTCACCTATTTTCCCAAGGATTCTCCTCAGCACAAAGACACAGCTCATGTACAAGAGATGTCTTGTGTAAGAGCCACCCTGGCTTAGACACCTCATGTACAAATGTCATGTCTCATAACTGTCTTAGAGCAAGAAGTGTGTGCTCCACTCATGAGAGTTACTACTGAAAGAAATAGGTGTTTTCCCTCCTTGAGTCTATAATTTTCCCCAGTTTAGGTACAGTTTGCCATTTGAGGGTCATCATTTATAGAACAGGCAATCTTGCCTAGTAGTAGTACATTATATCCTCTCAAGAATACAGCTGAAGCCGGGCGGTGATGGCACACACCTTTAATCCCAGCACTGGGGAGGCAGAGGCAGGCGGATCTCTGTGAGTTTGAGACCAGCCTGGTCTACAGAGCGAGTTCCAGGACAGCCTCCAAAGCCACAGAGAAAGCCTGTCTCAAAAACCAAAGGGAAAAAAAAAATAGCTGAAAGCCAACCCACAGTCAAGTTTGTCTGTGGAGCAGAGGTTGTGTTACTCCCTTATCTGCAGATACTTGAGAAGATGGCACATCTAGCCAGCTCTATGAAGGAAGTGCTTCTTTCTTAGTTTGAGGGATTTGTTTCTGAAACATTCTCACTTTGTTGCCAAACCTGGCCTCAGACTTCTGGACTCAAGTGGTCCTTTGCCTCTATTTTCTGAGCAGCTTGGGCCACAGACTGGTTATAACAGCAGGAAGATAGAACCGGCAGTGAGGGGTTGTGGCCTGGGAAGTGCTGGGAGCCTTTATCATTTATTACAGAAGTAGCAATTAATATTCTAGGTATCAACTCCAGAATATTTGTTACTACAAGTTTGGATGTATGTGGAATATATACTGGGTGCTTTGTATTCTCAAATAGGTCCCAGAGAAAGAAAGTTCATGTACAACCTCCGGATCTCACACTACATAGCTTTAGTTTTTCCCTTTGATACAGCGCTGAGAAATCCCCTTTAATCAGTTAATGGGGGTACATGATTTGTAGTATGCGCTAAGTCACGTCCAGGGGGGAGATGTGAGGTCCCTGCCTTTCTCAAGACCCTACTTGCCTTCTTGGCTCTGAGAGATACACATGCCTTATTGTCGGAGTTAAATGTGCTTATGGATATAAAGACTAGAAGCCTTGTAGGATAGAAGGAACTTTTAGAGAATTTTTAGGAAGAGCTTTTAAAGGCTTCTTAGAAAGAACTTTAGGAGACTTTAGAAGTGACTTCGAGAGAATTTTTAGAAGGAACTTTTAGATCTTAAGAGCTTTTAGAGAAAGAACTTTTGAGGAGAGGGCTTCTAGAAATTCTAAAGAGAAGTCTAGAGAGAACTTTTTTGGGAAGAACATTTCTTGGAGAATAAAGAGCCATGAGAGGAATGCATGTGTGAGCTAGTTTAT